AAAGTGACAATAAAGGTTATCTTATAAGCAGATCATGTAAGGTGGCTGGTAGCAGGTCCTCTGGAAATTGGTAAAAGACTTTCTGACTTTCAGATGGTGTCAAAAACACATTTGTATGGGGGCCTGTCAGATTTCAAACTTGTCATGGCTCTGAATCTCTTTTAGAAATTTAACTTTGCATTCAAGAATTAGGTAAGGGCAGAATCTTCACAGGCTCAGCACAGTGAGATGAATTGCAAGAAGAAAACCCTACAGACACAGAAGATCTGATCACTGCAGAAAATAGAATTTGTACTCTTATGTATGTGCCGGCCCCAGCCTTTACATCCTAGGCCTTTTCAAGTTAATGGTAATTTGTTTTCCAGCCTTGAGATTTGCAACTGAGGAAGCTTTTCCCCCCCCCTGTGTTAGTATTTGGAACATATCTGACAATATCCATTCTTTGCAAGCCTGGTCTAGTTATATAATTAAAAAAACAGACATACAAATTATTAAAAAAAAAGATTACACCAGTTGAACTGGAGAGTGAAATGTTTCATGGCATTCACTAGACCAGGGGTAGGCAACCTTGGCTCTTTTATGACTCGTGGACTAGACAATTAGTGGGCTTTTCTGAATTTCAATTACAAATTTCACTATCCGACAAATAGTATCTTCTGCCTCACCTAAGCTGTTGTTAGGAGCTATGCACTATATCAGCAGGTGACAGAACTGAATTCTAACATCCGTGTGATTGCCCAGAGTATATTAATTTGAAGGCACACTTCTGTCCAAAGCATTTTATCGCTGTATTTTATAAGCTAACAAAAGGTTAAGAGTATTAATATTTCATTAGTTGCGGTCTGGCGGGCATGAGTGATTGTTCAAGTGAATGTTGAAAAGAATATGAAACAAGGTGAGATTCCTCATGATTCTAAATTGAAAAACCTATATTGATATGATCACATGATTACGGGGATGCTACAACAGTCATGTGAAAAGCAGTCGTAAGTCATTTTTTTCAGTGCTGTAGTAACTTCAAATAGTCACTAAATGAATGATTGCAAATCGACTACCTGTACCTCTATTTCATTGTCCCAAACCCCAGAAGAGCTTTTACTTTTGCTCGCTGTGATGTGCTCCCCTCTACCCTCTCAGGTGAATGGGAAATTGGTCATGTGTTGCTGCATTGTTCTTTTTAATAGAAATCTATGAGAGATGTGCGTTTTCCCATATATATAACCCAATATCTGGGCAATTTGGCGGATGGTTACCCTAGTCCAGGGGTAGGCAACCTTGGCTCTTTTATGACTCGTGGACTTCAACTCCCAGAATTCCTGGCTCAGGAAGGTAATAGCCTGAAAGACAGATCTGGGGTCCCCGGGCCCCATACTATTATCTGGTATAATGTATATAATGTATATACCCCAATACTTGGGCAGTCTGACGGATGGTTACCCTAGTCCAGGGGTAGGCAACCTTGGCACTTTTATGACTCGTGGACTTCAACTCCCAGAGTCATAAAAGAGCCAAGGTTGCCTACCCCTGCCCTAGTCCCTTGCCCGCGACTTGTTTAAAAAAAACAACCAGCAGGCAGGGGATTTTTTTCAGACAACATAGACCAGTTCAATGTCAGAGCTATGATTAAACATGAACAATTCATCCAAGTGAGGTGATGCTGAGCCTTAACTAGACTTCTATAATTCAGTCAATTTTCTTTCTTTCGCTCCCTTTCTTTCCTCCCCGCTTTATATCTTTTTCTTTTATACATACGTATATTATTTGATGTTGTATTTTGCTATTTCTTTGCCATAAACTAGCTGGACCATAATTGTCTTAATTCCAACAAACCTTAGCAGAGCTTGAGGAAGTTATTAGATTTCAAAAAGCTTGGCATAATTTGCCATTCTCGTAGTGTTTTAGAAATTCTAGTACCGGCACCAGTTGTGTCCTTTTACAGTTATCTTATTCAAAGCTATTTACGTATAGCATTTACATTATTAATGTAAAACTACTTGTAATTTTATAGGATTCTCTCGTGTTTTGATTCCTGCGCTCTCTAATTTTATGTTAATAATTTTATCTTTTAATTTATTAAAAGATAAAAGAATTCTATTTTAAAACATTAAAAAGAATTCTATTTTAAAACATTACTTTTACCCTGTTCTGTGATGAAAATAAAACTGATCGATTGATAAATTATTCCGCAATTTCCTCTCCAAATTCTACTTCTATTAAGAAACTGCATTAAGGCTGCAATTCCACCCCTTACTGAGAGTATCATAAAGCACAATATCACTTTATCTGAGTAAACAATGCACAGTATCGTATTATCTGGTTCTTCTAGTTCTATTATTTTCCGCTTTAATATAAAAATGTCTTAACATAATAGGGTGAAAAAATAGGCTTTAAGGGAGAGCTTATTTGCTTTGATAAACTCATAATTAGCTGTGCAAGCTATGCTCAAAGACCAGTTAGGTCTAGTGGTTAAGGCACCAGGCTAAAAACAGGGAGGCAGCGAGTTCTAGTCCCGGTTGTGCAAACTCAAGATGATATTCAAAAGCAGGAAGTTGGACTTGATTTGCAGCTTGATGAATTGAAATCTGATCTGTTGCTGTCTGATGTGAAGAAGAAAGTATTTGGTTTGAAAAATATAAATCTGCTGGAAAAGATTGAAAAAAACACGAATATAAAAAATTCTGAGATAATGGATTTGATGAAAGATGGACTGGATTTTCTTGGCCAAGAGGAATATTGTGCTGTCAAGGAGATCTATTCAACAATGGATGTTGCAGATATTTACAACCGTGTCTTAAACAAACTTTGGAAATGAGATGTAATTGTTGGGAAAATTCCATATTAAAAACCTAATGGAAGGTTTCATTATTAAGAACCAAACGAGGGTTTTTGATCCTGGACTGATCAGAGATAATGACTGGAGTGATTTGTGCTAAATAAGAAACAATGCAGACTTTCTATGAGCAAATTACAATAACAGACTGTTAACAAAAGTGTTTTGAATTTTAACTTTGCTGTTGTTTAACCTGTTAACTATTTTTTTCATATATGTAATGCATGACAGGTCAATTGGGTTGCAAGTACAAGGTGGGAAGCTATCATTGTTGCAATAGTGTTCAACTAGGATTGATAATATGTATTTTTGTCTTTTGTTTTTTAATTCATTCTTTTATTTTAAAATTTTGTACTTTAATCTTTTGAATAAAATAAAATAAAATAATTAAAAAGAGCACTTCACTATTATATAGGAAGTATTTAGAAATACAACATATTTTCATTCAATCATTCATAAAACAGCCCTTTTACTTGGATTAGAAACAGTTTTAGCAATAAATTATTACAGGAAGAATAGTTGTTTTTGAAAAATAGAGCAACAACTAATTTATACTTCAGTCACTTCTCTTTCCTATAATATCACAATCATACTGGCAGCATTAAAAAATAACTGTTAACACAAAAATTAAAATAGTAACATTATGCCCACAATACTGACTTCCCCAATTTATTTCTTAAATTAATTCCAATATACAACTTAGAAATTAGTTCAGAACTAATGAATATTTACATGTTTCTTGTTTCAACATTTATTCAGTATAAAAATAGGTGTACATATAGCAGATTTCAAATTATACCTAAATTTATAGTTAATGACGCTGTCTAAATAGCAGCCTGCCAATATTTGTAAAATAAGATAAAAATAAATAAGTTTATGTCATGAAATGGATAGCTTTAAAAATTTGATTTTGGCAAAGATCTGCTTTCTTCTGATCATCTTACAGCAACTGATTTGATAGGCAATATCTTTTCCTCTCTGGAGGAAGAAAAAGTCTTTATCTTATCCACATAAATATAAAAGAAAAATAAGAAAAAAAAACCCCAGATCTTTCCTTCCTGCAAAGCCTTTCCTCCTTAAAGGCAAATGAGCAGAATTGTGCAATACCATTGCTCCCAAGGTAGCTTCCCATGATGCTACAATCAGTAACAATACACACCTGCCTTAGAATGTGCCAAACAAATTCAAACTATTCATAATGCAACATCTGGAACAACTTTACTACAACTATTTGCTAAGAAATTGAAGGCTGGTTGAGGCCTTCAGCAAAATGAAGTGATCCGTGCTCTGCTATTTGAGTGGTCTGACAGAAAATTAAAACCTTCCCATGTAAGCATTTGACGGAAACAAATTCTATTTTCCGACTTGTTTTTTCTCTCTCAAAATAAGCCTTAGCTTGATTTTGGGGGGTAGGCCTAATATAAGCCCTACCCCAAAAATAAGCCTAGTTTTGGGGTGAGGCACACACCTAAAAATCAGGGTGGGGGTGGGGGGTGGAGCTGCCCCATGCGCCCCGTACTCACTTAACTTGCAGCCAGGGCTCTACTCACCAGCCTGCTTCTTCTGAAGCATCCCCCGACCTGCATTTCACAGTCAGAGGCCTTTCCGGAAAGCCACTGCAGCCGAGAACTGAGTTATGGATTGAATCCATAACTCAGTTCTCGGCTGTCGAGGCCTTCCAGAAAGGCCTTTGACTGCGAAATGCAGGCCGGAGCTCCATTCTCAGCTGCAGAATGAAGCTGCTCCTTCGGCCACAGATGACGTGGGCCGGCTGGATGGGGCTGTCGGTGCCGGAGGTGAGTGGAAAATACACCTCCCCCCAAATAAGATTTGGTGCCTCTTTTGGAGGCCAAAAAAAAAAAAAAAAGACCAGGTCTTATTTTTGGGGAAACACGGTACCTCAACTTAGCTTCACTCTTCATGAAGAGTGTGAAGGAGGTGAGGCAGGAACGGTCTGCCACATAAGCCGGTGTTGTTTGTGGTTCCATAGGCATTACAGTTTGTCGATGCATTTAAAACATTTTAACACATGTTTTCAATAGAAAATGTCCACTCCAATCAGATCATTTACCATTTCCTTATTTTACAACATCCATAAATCAAGCTTTAGCATATAGAAGTGTTTGTTCATATGTAGCATCTTCAATTATTGTAAACAAAATCACAGAAATTTTTTTCAAATGATATATTTACACATATACAAACAATATTATACATCACTCTGCAGTCAAGTTGCACATTGACCTGGATCTCAAATCATCAATGTAACCATGAATTATTGTAGAAGCTCACTAAATAGCTATTGCATTTAACTGATACTACAACCTGAATCCCAGCTGAGGAATGTTAACCTGAGACATCCTATACTAGAGATATTCAATATAAACTGATGCGTTGGGCAACTGTAATGTACCGTGTACTTAGAGAAACAAAACAGCAATCTGTGATCTCTTGTAATGCCTAATGAGATGATAATTATTTGCTAACAGAATTCAATCCATACAAGTATTCAAGAATGAACCACAACGTGGCAAGCTAGATTCAAGAGGTGAATTGCACCTCAGACGTTGCATTCTAACACACAACAGTGTTATGTTGCTTTATCTTTTATCATCAGTTGCAAGAGAGTCCAAGTGGATCAATCTTTCAATAATCAAGTTGAGTTATTGTGGTAATATTCAAACAAATATAACACTGGTTCTGGTAAACATGAAGATAGTTGAGATAGTTATTTCTTTTACTGAGACAATTGTGCAACCACATTTTCCTTCTTCAATGTTGTAACCAAAGATGTGTAACCAAAGTAACGTGAAAGTCTTGAAGATTTGTATTCTCAAGTAAAATTGCTGAGGGTGTTTCATTTACATGAATGATCTCAGGATTTCAGAGACGTGTGTGTGTGTGTGTGCCTGTGCATGTACACATACACGCACACACATATGATCTCAAAAATAAAATGTTGTATTGGTATATAAATCATATGCTACAAAACCTAGAATAAATAATAGAACTTTTCCTATCTATAAATCAGCATACTTTATCTATCTATCTATCGCCAATCGTGTTTATTCACCAACTTTTAAGTGAAAAGGTGCTATTAATTCCCACGCAGCTTCTTCATGATAGGGCTGTCAGGGTTAGCAGTGGTAAATATGCTTCCAACTAGTACGTGAGTTCCCCATAGATTATGCCGAATAACTTTACAGCAGCCTAGGTCTTCCACAAGAAATCCTAACTGGTGATACCGTTCGTCAGTTTCAAAAAGAGTGTTGTTTGTGTAAGGGCCAAAGAACTGAAAGGAGAGAAAAAAAATGAAATATCGAGCATTGTTAACAATTGATCTGATTAAATTCCTGCTTAAGTAACTATATGCACTACTTTTTATTTCTATGAGGCATTATCTGAATGAGCCCCAAAATAATTGATGTGCGATTATTATCAGCATATTATGCTCTTAATTTCCACATTAGCAAAACATGATCAATATTTGTCATTACGGTAAACTACATACGTTGCAAAGACTGCCACAGCCCATTCTAGAAAAGGGATATATCTAAACACAGTCGGCATCCATTAATAAAGGTTGCAGAAGAAAAAGGTTGTCATCTAGTAAAGGAACATAAAATATTCTAGGTTTTTTTCCCTTCTGCGTGATTCAGTTTTACACAAAGAAAAGTCATCCTGCATAATGATTGGCAAAATATAAAGAATAATGACAGAAAAGTATCTCAAGACTAGCACTTCGAATGCATCGCTATCCTGGATGAAAAGCAGCATGCATTTAGCACGTGTGCAAATAAGCCAGAGCATCTGTAATACAAAACCAGATTAGGGCGAGGGAAACTCAGGATCGTACATGCTGTTTGCTAGCTGATTGCGGCTTACCAGACTCTCACAATAACATGCAGATGGTCCTGGCTTAACGATGGTAATTGTGACTATAAATTCCACCCTTAAATGATAATGTTGTAAAGCACAATGTCATGTGACTGCATCGCTTAACAACGGCAATCCCTGCAGTCCCCTTTACAGTGGTTAAGTGAAATTGAGGGTCATTAAATGAGGACCTCATATGACAGCGACTTGGGATTTCCTGCCGGCTCCCATAAAGTCAATGGAAAAAAACTGGCAGGACTTGTCATGCCTCCGTCCGAGCCTGACTCTGAGGATGACATGGAGTTCCCTGTTGAGGCCCAGGAGGGGGTGTCTCTGGCTTCGGAGGACTGTGGGGAGGAGCAGGCTGAAGCAGGCCAGGGCCCTTCAAGTTTGGAACAGGGAAGGCAGAGTTCAGGTGAGGAGCAAGGCCCCTCCCCACCAGATCCCAGAGCAAGGAGAGCAGAGAGGAGGAGGGAACAACGGAGGCAGGCTCACTTGCTCAGGAGGAGAGCGTCATGCCCCACTCCATAAGGCACACCTGGGGAGTAGGATTTAAGGAGACGCTGTGGGGTGGGGCATTTGCCGGGAACAAACGTGAACTCTTGTGATAGTGTGCTCTTGTACCTGGACACTTTGTATTTTGGATCAAGTTTGCTTCCTGCTGATTTCTCCTTGCTGTCTGCAGTTTTGCAGTTTGCCGTTCACAGGCAAGCTGGGAGTTGAAAGGATTATAAGTTTGCTTGTTATCTGTTTTACTTTAAAGAACCATGTAAACTTCCCTGACTGTTTTATTGAACTTGTGCCAGCATATGTGGGGGCTGTTGGGTGAACGTTGGCAGTGCTTACAAAGACAATTGTTCTGACCAGCTAATTGCTTTGCCTCCGTTCGGGGCCCTGGGTCATCACAGGAATTTGCAAGTTCCAGATGGCCTGAAAACAGGCCAATGGGTAGGTAAGTATTATGGAGTGAGGTGGGCTGGAGGAGGTTACTGAAATTAGTGCATGTGGACTGGGAAGTGATTGCTGTGGTGCTGTGCAAGTGTGTGTGTGGATTGCAGAGAGGGTGTTGCTACGAAACGCAAGTGAGGCCAAAATGTGTGCTGCGGAATAGGAGATCTCAAGAATCTCATACTTTGTAGTAGAGTTCCTTGGGGGGAAAAGTGGCGGACGTTACTTGCAACCTTCTCTGCTGGCTTCCCCACTGACTCTGCTTGTGGGAAATCGGCAGGGAAAGTTGCAGATGGGGATCACATGATTGTAGATGTTGCAACCATCCTAACTGTGAGCAGAATACCAAGCACCGGGATTACAACAACGTGACCATGGGGTTGCTGGGACAGCCAGAACTTTGAAGGCCAGTTGTTAAGTTCCGCTTATTCAGCACTGCCAGAATTTTGAATGGTCATTAAGCGAGAACTACCTGTACCTCAAAAGGCTCTTTTATCTCTAAGCATAAACAGGAAGAACTATGTGCAACACCTTGAGCTCCTACAATGATAGACAGGAAATACCATACCAACACACTTATTAAATAAAAATAATCTAAGACCTTTAATGGCAACCAGCAAGAACAAACAATTGATGGAGGATTTATACTCTTACTGCTAGTTTGCCTAAGTCTGAACATGATATTCCTCTCCTTACTATGTTTTAACATAAATACTTACTGCTAATCCTGAAGTCGGATCAATGAAGTCTGCCCAATAGCCTTCGGAAGACAAAGCATAGCAAATTTCCTTAGCACCGTTGATAAACTAAGAAGAGAGAAAATAAGAAAAATGCAAAATGCAAGTCTTTCTCCATCAAGCATAAATTCACTTCAAAATCAAAGAGCAAATGCTCAAAACTTCAGCTGATCAAATTGAATAATTTTACTAACAGGATTAACACTATTAAGCTATATTTAGATCCCATAAAATCTTTGTGCTAGGGAATAAAGAATTAGTACTTCAATTGCTTTCATTGTTCATTTGAAGTGTAATGTTAGCTTTGTTCTCTTAATTTCACAACATCTAAAATTAAAGTTAAAATCACCACACATCATCTACTTTTTTCACGTTAATATATTATTTTGCCTTGATCAGAAAATTAAAAAGATAGCGCAGTTTAAGGTTTAAATTTAAAAGCTAGTAAGGATGCTTTCTAAATCCTTATCAAGTAAATTAAATTGAATAAATAAATACATTTCAGAGTAGTGTCTGACTCTGAAGTAGACTGTATCAATTCAGAAAGCCAAAACCAAAGGACCTTATAACTCTGTAGGAAAAAAGGATGTTTTTCCCAAACCCCAAAGAATATCTAATGTAAAATATAATTGTAAAATTTAGCAGTGGCTTGAGCCATTTGCAATGAACGTGATTAAGGTTCATACCCTCTACGATTAATTTTTGTACCATGGTGCACGATATATTAAAATCAAGCCTAATAAAAGGAACATATACTTCAGGAAAAGCTGACTATAACTAGATAGCTTTCAAACACATGAATGGTTTATTAAACCAAATATATGTACGTTGCAAAAACTCAAAATCAATTCTCTACATAACATTTTCAGTTTTGTCTAATCCAGTAAAGTATAAGTTGTCAGTTTTAGAACGGGCTAGTATTTTAAAATCACAAACCACTGTTTCCCAGTTGGTATGTATGGGAAATCATATTAATTAAGGCTTAACTTGTTTTCAATGCTTCTCTCTCTTTTTTTTTTGCAACATCTGCAAAGAATCTATACTTGAGCTTTGCCTTATTATGTTATACCGTATTTCCCCGGAAAAAAGACATACCCTGATTTTTTTTTTGGGGTGGGCCTAATATAAGCCCTACCCCCAAAATAAGTCCTAGTTAGGACCCTGCCCACTCTGTCCCACTTTGCTGCTGCAATGGGGCAGTAGAGCGCGTCGCGCCGCTGCCGCCACAATGAGGCGAGGCAGGTGGGAGAGGGGGTGGAGCTGCCCCATGCGCCCCGCATCCACTTACTTCAGGGCCCCCCAGCCAGGCCATTCCTTGCTTGGCGATCTTCCCTTTTACTCCCCTCCCGAGCCAGACTGCCATGCTACAGAGGTCCCCCTCCGCCATTTCAGAGCCAGAGGGGAATGACAGCGAAAGGCTTCGCTGCCACTGTGCACCACTGGAGGGGCTTTCTTCGTGCTTCGGACCCTAGATCACCTGCCCAGTGGCAGCCGCCACCTCCTTCTCCTCTGCCAGCTCTCCCGTGGCTTGAGCCATGACCTCAAGCCTCCCCTGCTGCCTCCCTCCACCAGCCCTCCATCGCCGCCACTGGAGAGAACAGAGAATGGGGGGGGGAAGCGGCTCTGCACAGCAATACAGAGCAGAGAAGAGCACTTGCTTGCGGCCCTGCATCGCCCCGCATTTCCCTTCTCCGTTCTGGAAATGGCAGCCCCATGTTTTGCAGCTTCTTCGCCTGGCACTGCTGCAGTGTTTGGCGCACCACCGCCCATCGTGAACCAACACCACACCGGAAGTGATGCCATAAAAAATCCTGCCAAATGTGAAGATGCCAAAGGAGTACTGCTAGTGAGGTTCATGGAGTGTGGTTCAACCATCAATTCAGACGTCTGTGAAACATTACGAAAACTCAGAAGAGCCATCCATAACAAGCGTCGGGGCATGCTGACTTCCTGTGTGGTGTTGGTTCACGATAATACTTGCCCGCACACCGCTAGAGTCCAGGGGTAGTCAACCTTGGCTTTTTTATGACTCGTGGACTTCAACTCCCAGAATTCCTGTTCTGGGAGTTGAAGTCCACGAGTCATAAAAGAGCCAAGGTTGACTACCCCTGCACTAGACACACCCAAGAACTTTTGAAGTAGTTCTGTTGGGATGTTTTTGATCACCCCCCTATAGTCCAGATTTGGCAACGAGCAACTACTACTAAGGAATTTCAAACCTTGTAAGACGTTATGACAAGTGCCTCAATTTGAATGGTGATTATGTCAAAAACAATGTAATGTTGTAGTTTTCTAATGTGTATAATAAAAGTTCCGTATCTGCGAGTGTCATTGATAACCAAACGGAGGTTTATTTCCGAATTGCCTTCGTATTTAATTCATCAATTTCCCAAACTATAAGTTATACAGTAGAGTACTCTTGCTTTGCTCCTTTGGAATCACTAAAGCTATGTAACTCATGCAGTCAAGAATTCTCCTCCTAAGTGATCCACTCTTCTGAATCCATTGTCTAGAAGCCAGAAATCAGCTCCAAATGCTTTAAAATGAAAATAAAACGTCTATTTCTAGCAGTTAACTGCAAGGTATTGTTTCATTACAATTATTCAGAAATGGAAAACAGTACCCTCAAAATGTGAACATTTCTTTTAACTAGACATGTTCAGTAAATAACATTTTATGGAGAATACCAGCAGTAAATACTGACATCTGTTGGAACTTAATTACCGACTGCTTAAAGCCAAAGTGGTTAAAAGGGAGCCTGGAAAAGGAATGACCCCTAGTGGCAATTTTGCACATGGGCAGAGTTAAATGTAGTTTTCATTTAAGCAAGCACCAACAAGCTTTCAGATGAAACCCTTAATTTACTATACAGAATGAAAAGCATTAGAATGTCATCATGTCATGCTAAGAATGAGTATGCATAAAATTTTTATGATTAGTACTTTCTTGTGAAAAAACATAGTGACTTAATTAGTTCAAAGTTAACAGTTAATTATGTGTAGATGGATATGGGTATAGAGGGCTGTGTGTGTGTTAGTGTGTAGTATTTATAAAGGAGGCTGATTAACAATTTAAAAAATATATAATGCCTCTTTAGAACCGAATCTGATTTTTGATGACTGTGGACATATCTAGGGATTTCTTTTTTGGCTTCTATAATTTAATAAAATATCTGTCCTTTCAAATATGTTTTACATTTGTAAATAATGCTTTACGTTCTTAAGAGTACACTGGGTTAGGAATCTATGAATCTATTTGGGCACCCACATATAAAAACACCCACCCACCCAGAATCAGTAGTAGAAAGTAATTACATCTGATCATCCAAAGCCACTTACGTTTTCGATGAGGACTTCTCGCTCATTTTCTACCTCTTCGCTCCACCCAGTCATATCATTTACAGTTTTCTGCGTTACCGTTAGTACTGTTATGTTTTTGGAAACAATGTCTGGAAACATTGACTCAAAATCTACAAAAAATAAGAGATAAATATTTTAAATAACTTTGCCATTGGCATATTTCTATACTATTTGCCAAGTGGCCAAAATGTGGTCATGTGATTATTGTGTGTCTGTGTGTGTGTATATGTGTGTAATCATCTTTAAGTAGCTTTTTTTTTGGGGGGGGAGGTTCGATTGTAACTTTGGTCGCTAAGTGACCCATCGTAAGCCGAGGATCCCCTGTACGCAGCCTCTAGCAATCAAGAGGAAGACACATTTGCTCCCTAAAGGCCTATTCTTTAACTGGTGCACTAAATACTTTGCTCATATAGAAAATTAATCTAGGTTTAAAAAAAAAATGGCAAAAGGAAGTTAATTCAAACGTAAAATTAAATCAAATGTACTGAAACCCCAAGAAAATTAACCAAGTCACCATGCTAGATACAAAAGTTACTTAAACTGTCAATCTGTGCATGTTTTTTCTTCAAGCTACAATTTTATACACTTTTTAAATATAATTAACACTGTGGAGGGATGGGGGGGGAAGAGCAGGAAACCCATACCTTTGCGCAACAGTTCTGGGCATGCTTGTATCGCACATTCTACTTTGGCAGTTTCAAAGTAACTTTTGGCATCGGCAATGTCTTCCTTGTGAACAGCATTATTGCCCTGAAAAAAAAAGATAAGTTTTTTTTATCTTAAGTCTTTAATGCATATTATCGATTAGAAAATATTTGATTTATTTTAGTCTTTTATTCCAATTCTTGGAATTCTAAGCTTGTGCTATACACACACACACACACACACACACACACATATTTAACTTCTAGGCATGTGAAGTACATTTGAATTCTTGTCAGACTTCATACCAGTGACAGTCTATCTGTACACAGTTTCAATTTATTATGATTTTTATGCTTCCATGATTTTGTAATATTTTTTTCTTATCTGTCCAGACTCCAAGACTGCAGCAGCATATACATTTTATAAAGTAAATAAACCCTAACTCATAAAACACATTAAGCATTTTTTAAAAAAACAAAGCATAAAGGCATTTCTACTCTTGGAATGATTGTTTAGTGTGACTGTTTAATACTGATTTATCAAATTCTGCTTCAAAAACTTGTGAAGGAAGGATACTGAAAAGCGGGTTCTTTGCCTATCCCTACTGAACTTTTCCTATAACGTACAGATAAAGGGAGTATTGACTTCTGGTTCCAGATGCGACGCCTTCGGACATGTGGGGGGAAGCTTCTCCCTGCCGTCTGGTTTCCCTTTGTCGGAAGACCCTGGAAAGGGTCAAAAGTCACCCTGGAGGGTGATCACCGTTGGGGAGGACCCTCGCAAGATCGCGGAAGAGCAGCAGTCCTTCCGTTTGATCCGAGGCAGCTCCCTAGGACCGACGAAGAAAAGATCGGCCATTAATATGGCCGATCACTTAGTTGCACCAGCCGAAAGTCCCGATAACAGCTAAGCATACGAAGCAGGAGTGGAGGATTTGGGTGAGATCCTTTTTTACCTCTCCTTTTCCCTAATTACCTTCCTGTGAAAGCCTTTTGAAATTCGTTCCCCCGCTCTCAATTCAGCACCGTTTGCATACATGGGATTTTACAGCTTGGAAAGAAAAGGAAAGAACTACTAATTTCAACAACCAAATAATTGGATCTTTGTTTTGTGGATACCTTGGGGGCCCAAAACTTTTTTTATAGAGACTTAGCATTTTTTTAACTTCTTTAACTATTAACTTTGCAAAATATTGGCTTTTTTGTGTGTCTTAACTGAATAAGAAGCTATTCGGCATTTGGGAAAAGATTTTGTGGTCTGCTGGGGATATCTTGTGGCAAAATTTGGCATAGCAACTGGAATTTCTTTTCAATTGTGCTTGTTGATTACTTTGATTTGTCCTTCATACTATCAAAAAAGATAAGACGTAGAAACAGCTGTGGTGACAATAATTCTTACAAATTGTGGAGGTGGACAATAGCTGAGTCTTACTAAACATAGCCTCCACTAAAGGACTATCTTTAATCACCATGGAAATGGATGAATCTTATCCACAACTTAATTATAAACTTATCCTTGAAAAAATCCGTGAAGCAACAGAGCTAATCATTTCACGAGTGAAAGCTAAAGACATTTTTACAAAATTACAAATTGAACCTCAGACTCAAACTGATCAACCTATAACCCCAAAAATAATAGAAGATGAACAAATTAACATTAAAGAAGATTTCATACAACATGCACAACTGGCTGAGATGACTTTAACTACAGCACCTGTAACTCCAAAAGCAGAGAACTTAGACATTTTAGATAACCAAACAACACCACCACCGGATATGTCTCTCTAATCTACTCAGATGAAATCGCAAGAAGAGGACCAGACTACTGAACCGACTATAAATACCCTAAACCAAACATGGAGATTTGAATTATTAGGGCAACAACTTAACAATTACAAAGGGGCCAGTTCTTTTGAAAGACTGATAACTGGACATTCTCCCTTGATTCAAACAACAGATGTAGGTATGAAGGGAGATAAATCCGAGGTTTTAGAGGCACTGGCATGGAAACCTATTTGGCACAAAAGGAAAGCCAGAGTCAGATTTAAAAATGGGATTTAGAAATCTACTTAATGGGTAAAGCAGCTTTTTAGAGATAATGTTTTTTTTTTAATATTTAGCACTTAGATTTATAATGGGAGTTAAAATTAATTGTTAGACTATAACTTTAATTGTTATATAGAAATAGATTTGTGATAATGACAGATATTTTGTTATTAAAGGAGGAGTTATTAGAATGAGAATTAGAATATATTTGTCTATAAAGAAGGTAAATTTTGGAATAATATGTGTATTTTAGTTATGTTAATTATATTATAATGAAATGAGGGAAATCAAGGTTATCCAAAGTTTAAACATTGGTTATAAAAGGCTGAATTGGAATATATAAATTGGAATTAAATAAAACCTCTAAACAGGACTTGGATATATATAAGTAAAATACTATTGATAAACGTACTGATTGATTGAGCCTAGTTAGAAACTTATTAACATGAACATGATATAATATTTGTGGGAAACAGTGAGGGAATGTTATTGATGTAACCTAAGATATATATGAATGCTTTTGTTATTGACTGATTTCCCTAGCACCACGCTGCTTCCTAAGTATCTGGATGTTAAAATTTGAAAAATTAATAAAACTTGTTTTAAAAAAAAAGATAAAGGGAGTATTTCTAGCATGAGCACTAATTCTTGGTAGGATAGATTTGGTAACAATAATTTTTGGTAGTATAATGATACTTCAGTACTCATTGTTAATTGGTTCTGGGAGACACGCTGAGTACCAAAAATGCTGAGTACTAAACAATTTTTCCCCATAAAGAATGTAGTGAGTTACAAGGCAGTTGACATCAACAAATTCTAGTTAGTGCGTTGAGTACCAAATAAACAATGAGTAGTGGGATAAAATTTTCATATCAAAATGTGTCGAGTACCAAATTCAATGAGTTTCAAAGCAGTTCAGTACCAAGGTACCATTGTATAGCAATGAAAATCAAGATTATGCCAAAAATCAAAATAAACTAGGGCAAATCTTTTAAATCCTTCTCAGTATATTGAAGCTACCAAAGGGCAGGTATTCTCTCAAAGTATACAGTTTGGAAGCAATTAGTCATCTACAAGGATCATGTTGACTTGACTTAGGTGTTCTTGCAACATATCCCCAACAGAGAAAGGAGAGAAAAATAATCCCCTCTATCTTCTCTTCTCAAACCCACCCATCTATGAAAGTTTAATAAATTGTGATCAAAGTGAATCCACAGAAAGTAACCTCTTGACTTGTATCTGAACTCAGTGAGGAAGATCTGATCTAGCAATTGCCATGATAAATTACTATGCAAGTTGAAGTCTACATTAAAGATGCACATAGGATTTCTTGTGCCATCCACCAAAGGAAGCAGCGAACGCATTTCTAGATTTGTATCTCACCTTCCCAGGAGACTTCTACACTTACCTGGAACTCGTTGACATACTGGGCCATCACAAATTCATGCCTTTCACTTGCCAAGGGTTCCATCAATAGATCAGGCATTTTTTTATGAACTTGTCCTGTCTTCTGTGGTGCTGTACCATTTAGGTGACAGTCAAAACCTATGTTACCAGGTAGCTGAAATCTTTGGTCCTGGGGACCAAAAGGTCCCATCACTTCATCTGGCCACACAGTTTTGGGACCTAAGAAAAGTTAAGTCCGTGTCACTGAAAAGCACCCACATACAGAGTTGTTTTCATCAGTAAAGGACATTGCTTTTGGAATGTTGCTGCTTAAAAGTAGATTCATATACTTCAATAGAAACTGAAAAAGTGTGTCCCATTTATCTCAGTAGAAATTAGTTCTGAGTAAATACTTGAAGTTGGGCTAAAAGTACCAAAAGACACAGATTACTTAAATATATATACTGTATGATGCCAGTTTGGCGTAGTGGTTAAGGCATCAGGCTAGAAACCAGGAGACTATGATTTTGAGTCTCGCCTTGGGCACAAAACCAGCTGGATGACCTTGGGCCACTCACTTTCTCTCAGTCATAGGAAGGAGGCAATGGCTAACCACATCTAAAAAAAACCTTGCTAAGAAAACTGCAGGAATTTGTGCAGGCGATCTCTGAGAATCAGACATGATGGAATGGAAGGGGAAAAAAAAGATTTTCTATAAAGAGATGATTTTAATGATCATTAACGTGAGAAAAATTTGAATTTTCCTTACATATGTCAGGAGGTGCAGCAGCAACAGAAGGCTCATCTGAGCCAGAGGATCCTGCTGTGGAAAAAGCCTTGGGAGTTATAACCCTTCTAACCAAAGAATAAAATCCTGGCAGGTATGTCACCAGTCTAGCTCTGTTACAAAGTACCTAAAGGGGGACACAAAGAAAATTGAAGGCAGCACAGGTTGTGTATGAAAACGATGACTTAGCATATAAAGCAGGGGTGTCAAACTGCTGGCCCGCGGGCCGGACGCGTCATCCGAAAGCCACACCCACCCCAGTGCCGGCAATGGCAAAACCGTCTCGATACGTTGCACGACGTATCATGTGACGTCGCGAGTTTGACATGTCCTGACATAAAGTATTCTTCCACAATAGCTGGTGCAGGCATGGAACATGTTACAATGAGGCCATGATTCAATCAGCTCCCAGTGGATTACAGAGGCAATGGAGGAAATTTCCTCCTGGCTACTCCACTGAAGTAACAGATGAGTCCACCACACCTGTAGTACTCTGGATGAGAGAGATTATTACAGGTATGATGGAAATGAATGCAATCACATACTTCTCAGATTTAATAAACCTTTGGGAAGAAGGGACATCTCTCCAAAGAATCTGTTACAACAAGGATTCATCCATCATCCTTGAATTTACGAACAATTATAGAACATAATCGTTAGTTTCTTTTATGAACTTTACATAATTAGTTTTAGTTATAAAATCTCCGACCTCAAAATGTGTTCTAAATGGTATATCAATGATGTAGATGCATATATGATGTTACTATAATTTTGTGTATATTCATTAGGAACAAATCGTTGGTGTTAACCTTGACTGTTGTCCCAGTAATTGCGAAATGGTTGCCAAGTGAAACCGCGATGGTCTTATGGTGTTGCTTTCCTTTGCTTTACAGAGCTGTAAAAGTCATAAAAGTGAGGACTGATTGCAAAGTTATTTTTCATCACCGTCATAAATGTGAATGGTCACTGTACAAGGCAGTTCTTAAGCGTAGACTACCTGTACATGAAAAATGATGGAATTATCTACAGGCAAAGGATTATAAAAAAATAAAATTATATGTAATGCACACATTATGCCAGTTCTTCCTCTGGCAAAGCTATTAAACAGGATAGGTGACAAGTTAGTTAAACCAGTTTATCTGGAGATAGCACATTTCTTATTACTAAACTGGCAGGCCACTTTATGATAAGTTGATTATAGTATTTTACCCTTCTTTATACTGGCAGAAAGTTAACCCAGCCTCCTGCATACCTTGATCAAACATATTCCTAAATTCAAAAGTCTGATGAGAACAAGGCCAGAAAATTATTAGAACACAAACTAATGGAAACACATCTTGTTTTCTTTTTTAATCTGAACCTGGCCTGAATCAATAAGATTCAGGTGGCCAGTAACACCTCAGTGTAGTTTACTGTAATGACAAATATTGATCGTTTGGCTGACAATCAACTAAAGTTCTGATCTTACTATTTCCATCTTATGATTTCCATCTTATGATTTCCATCTTCCACGTGGGTGGAAGGTTACAATACAAGCTATGCTTTTGGTTGCCACATAAAATGATATAGTTTTTAAATCAAGGGCAAAAAAAACCCTGTAGTAAAACAAGACTTATTTTTTCCCATTATCTAAAGTGGGCTGCTATATTAATACAGAGGATGGCAATTATTTGTAGATGCATCATGAAGAAAAACAGCATTAACAGTTTTACGCATTTCTTACTTGAGAGATCTGAATCAAAAACAATGTGCAACATTTTTATAATAGGATTAAAAACATACTATTTCCAACCCTATATATAATAACTTTGTATTGTCTTCACTGTTACTGATCTCATAAGATATTTTTTAAAAAAATCCATACATACACGCATATCTATGTAGTATAATAAAAATTAGTTATATTACTTACAGTTGCCATTTCCATGCTTTTCTTCGTTTAAATAAAGTCTGAAACAGAAACATACAGAAGAGTGATCCTGAAATGCAATTTGGTAATTATGGAGAGTATTATACTGTATATTAAAAATAAGTTATTCCATTGAAAGATGATTAAACCTTCATCAGTATGAGGCTCAGTTTACAGCCACTGTAATAAAAAAGCAGGCACATAAGATCTCATTTGGATCCAATAGGGTAGGATACAACTCCTAGTTCTGAGATATTACATTATTCCCTTGAAAATCTTACAAATAGGATTATGGTTATTTTATTCTTTTCAACATTAGCGCACATACTATTCTGAGAACAGATTTCAAGCTTTATACTGTATGGCCAAACAATATATTTTAAGTTGACAATTTGTGAGTGATGAGTAATAATTACTGAGAAAGAGGTCATTGGGATAGTCAAATGAGGTTCCTTCATAGCTTCTATGATCTTTTCAAATGTATTATTTATTCATCAAATGTATAGAGCCACCCATCTCATGGAAAGTGATTCATCCTTTTTCTGTATTCACCCTTTTCTCCTCTTACTATGATCTTTCCCAACCTGAGTCTTCTACAGACACTTGAGAAGAGCTCCAATCAATCACCAGGTTGAAGAAAGGAGTCACAAGAGAAAGTTAATAATATCAAATGGACTAGATAGTCCAAAATGCTTTAATATACTCAAATTGCCCAGAGTCAGTTGATAGAGAGATGGGCAGCACACAAATTTAATAAACAAAATATTAAGAAGCAGATAAGCATCAACAGCTCCCTTTAACAATTTGTTGCATTCATAATCAGGTGTGTATATTTTAGCACAGCATGCAAAGATCTAGCTCTCTGGAGAAAGCTCTAAGCCAGGGGTCTTCAAACTTGGCCCCTTTATGACTTGTGGACTTCAACTCCAAGAATTCCTCAGCCAGGCACGCTGGCTGAGTCCACAAGTCATAAAAGGGCTTGAAGTCCACAAGTCATAAAAGGGCCAAGTTTGAAGACCCCTGCTCTAAGCCCTCCGTTGGTAAAGTTGAAAGAGAAGAGGATGACTAACAGCAAGATGGATGGTCTTCATTACAGTAGCAATGAGTTGGAAGGGCTGAAGGAGCAGGTCAGAGGTCTATGGAGATTCTCAATCATCCAGGTCATGGTTGTCCCAAAGGTGCCTTTTCCAAAACGGAAGCTTCTTCAATACTGACTGGTGGGGTCCCCCCTGAAGAAGCTCTTTGGATGAGAAGCAAAACATTTTCAAAGAAAAAAACCCCCACAAAGTCCAGTTGCCTTTTGGGAAAGGTGCCTTTGGGACAACCAGGTTAGAGGCAAAACCTATCTGTGTAGTTGTTAAAAGCTGACACCAACTTGAGGTCACATCATCAGCCCATCAATGCGCCTCTGCATTTAATGGGCTGCACCAATCCCCAAACAGGTTTCCGTAGCAAAGCCCGTCTTTCCTCGACATCTTCCTGAAAGGCAGACATACACGGGAGAAAGCGGTGGGGCACGAGCCCACCTAACGCATCGCTGAGACACACTCGGGGACGGAGGAGTAAGGCTCCCATCGGGATTAGGAGTTGTAAAAAGGCGGCCCCTCTTGGAGACTAAGACTCCCGCGAAGTCCCAAAGGTCCCATGCTGAGCTCCTCCTTCTCCTCCGCGGACGCGCAAGGGAGGAAGGCGTGTTGAGATACTGCACCGACAGGGCGCGTAGCGGATCTTTGTCTTCGCAGGTTGGAACCCGCTGAAGATTCTGAACACCTGAAGTTGAGGGTCTTAAGGGATCGGTCGATACGACTTCAAGTGTTCATAAATCTTCGTGTATCTACACTTGAAGTTGAACCAGGCTGCGGAATTCTGGGAGTTGAAGTCCGCAAGGCTTAAGAGTCGCCCAAGGTTGGACACCCCTGGTCTACAGCCTCCTCGACCTGCGATCTTCCGGGCTTGCAGGGCGACAAATCCCATAATCCCCAGCCCCCAGGCACCCGACTCCCGAGCATCTCTCAGGAGCTATCTCGGAGGCGAAGCTCTTCCGGGATGGCTGGCCAGCAGCAACTCCCTTCCGAAGAAAAGTGTGGGGTTGCTCCCGAAAGGAGACCGACTCGGATCTATATCTCTTAGGTGAGACACTCCCTAAACCGCCGGCATTCCCAGCAGACCCACACCGTGATCCCCTCCCAGACGTTACTCCGGTATAAAGGCAGGCACCGGGCGGCTTCGGTCGTTTGGCAGACGGTTCAAGTGAACCGGGGCCCCAATTTAGAGGAAGAGCTGATTTGAGAATTTCGGGTGGGACCGAGGTTGGGAACCCAAGTGGCTAGTCCTTAGTGAGAAACAACAGTTTCTTAGGGCGGCGATAGTTTTAAGGGGAGCATTTCGCAGCCTGGCAAGACAAGCCGAGCCCCCGGAGGAGTGAGGCTGAGGAAGTCGAGAAGAGCCCGTTTGGGGGGGAAAGGAAGCTTCCGGGGAAAAGAGCAACACCGCCGCCCGGTCTGCTTACCACCACTTTTCCGGCATCTGTTGTCCCCCGCAAAATGGAAGACCAGGGAAGCCAGTTGATTATCGCGCTCGTCGGTCGAGAGGAAGGGAAAAAAGTGTTGCTTTTGTGCGCCGGATTAGGAACAGGCGGAACGAACGATGCAGCGGCCTTTGCGTTGGTTGGGCGAGAAAGAAGGACGAACCCAGAAAGGGAAAATTAATCGCTTTCCGCTTGGTCGATGGAGACGACAGCCTGGAGGGGATCGGGAGAATCAAGTCAAGCACCGCTGAATGGATTGTCTCACGCCTCTTTCTTTCCTCCTCCTTCAAGAATTCTGCAGGAAGTCTGCAGGATTTCTCATGTTCAGGGTGTAGAATTGCGGGGTTTAGGTGGACAAAAACACTCTTTAAAAAGGAAAAATGAGAGATAATACTGAAACAAGGGTCCTGTATTTACAATGACGTTATCCCTATTAACACATCCAGTGAGGAATAGTGGTTAAGATACTGGGTAGGACGTGGGAGAGCAGAGTCTAATTCTTTTAAGCAAAGAAACCAGCTGGGTGACTTTGAGACAGTCAGTCTCTCTCAGGCTACACTGGGAAGTCCAAACAAACAAACAAAAAAGACCTATGGGGGTGGGAAGCATGCATCTACCAGCTGGAGCAGTGTGGTAGATTACAGTCCACAACTGTCAATGGCTTCATCCTGTAGTGATTAATGAATAATAATAATAATAATCCCCAATGATTTGGTTGTGGGGCTTGTGTGCTCTGAGGAAGATAGAAGCTATGCCAGAGGTTCAACCATATTGCACAGGTCTCTTCAGAGGAGCCAGACAAAGAGTCTCTCCCATAAATGATATGGTATAATTTACAGAAACCCATACCTGATGGTCATCAGTAAGGAGTGTATTAGGTGTTGGGGTTTCTGGATATCAAATGACAAATAGGCTACAGGGTTCACATCTGTTGGCTGAGAAACCAAAGCCAACAGCTGCAGCACCACTGAAAGAAAAAGTGTTTACCTACTGCAAATATACCAAGATTGAAAACAAAGAAATAATGTTCTGTTTTTACAAATCAATCCAATGAGAAGAGGATATCTGGAAAGAATGCATCAGTTCTGGAAAAAAAAAACATCCAGAATCGGAAATAAAAGAATAGAATCTAGTAGATAAAGTTTGATTTATAATCTGAAAAAAGTATTCATAGAAACACAACTAGAAGAACTGCAAAAGTCTACCCAGAGCAAAGAAATCAAAGCTTTGCCAGAAGTAGCTCAAATTGTAGAGGCAAAATGGGGGAGTCCCCAATAGAGGAAGCCAGCATAGCTATTGAATCATTTTCATTCCCAAATCAAGCACCCTCTCCTCTGCTTTCTCAGAAAGAACAAAGGCCTCTAAAAAAGAATTGAAACAAAGAATAACTGGCCTCTAGAACAGCACAAAAACAACAGAATAAGCTTTCCTGCATTGAAGTTTGTTCCAAACTTGCTAGCACAAATATTAAAAGATGTCAATCTTGTAAAATCAAATACAAGCACCAGCAAAAAAACAAACCAATGAACGTACAGCATGGCTACAGTTATAACTGAATACTTGAAATGCAAAATCAGCAAAAAAGAAAAAAAAGCCAAACTGCATCACCAAAACGGATGATTGGTCTGGAAAATAAGATCAGCAACCTAAGGGAGATGAAGCAAGCTAAAACAGATGAAAGAAAAAAACAACAGCTAAAGAACAAGAACATCATGAAATATTTAATCAAGAAATATCACCTAGAAACGAGGAAGGTTAAAGGAAGCATTGGAAACAGCAAAGCAGCAAATAATAGCTATAGCCAAGAAGATCAGCAAATACAAAGTTCAAATTGCATATTTTAGCTAGAATGTCCGATTTCAGTCCAATCAGAATCATTTCCACCAATGTAGAGACTATAGAGGTTAAAATACAGAGATTGTACTGTATTTTATTTTTTTGTATACTGATATGGCCCGATAATTAATCAATAAATTATTATGGTTGGTCAGCCAACCATAGTGAAAAGTAGAAAGTTCAAGTGGAAGGAACTTGTTTTCAACTAGTTAGATCTTTCAATATCAGATAGATTTTGCCAGATGTTAACCAATCTTCAGTTTTCCTCTCCTTGAAGTATGTTAAGCTGCTTGGTAATGAGTGTGTGATAGATCTCCTTATCCCCATTATCTCAGACTGCAATCTTAAATGTATGTATATAGAACCAATTTCAGTTGAATGCAAGAAGCATTTGCTGTTAAGGAAACAAATGATTATGCAACATCTGAAGTCAAAATCAAATAAACCATTTTATAATTTGAATATTGTATGAACCAAATCATTCTGATTTGTAAATAATAACTTATGGCTTACTTTACTGTGTTCCATATAATCAGCCACTGTGGCTAATTTGATAAATTAAGTTCAATGAAATTGAGGTTAATTCTGTTGGGTCAACCCAGCACACTGTAAATTAATCTGTGATTCAAACTTGAAGAGGAAATGTGGTTTCATTAAGATTTCTAGGATGTAGCTAGTGAGGACTCTCATGGTTTAATTTTAGAACTGATGCTTTTTAAAAACATGTTTATAAATGATTTGGAATAGGGCGTACTAGTGGAAAGCCAGGTTTGCAGACAACACAAAATTGTTCAAAGTGATAAAAACAATAAGAGTCTGTGAAGAGTTCCAAATGGAATGGGTGTCAAAATGGCAGATATACTTCAAATTTAAAGTGATGTTCGTTGCTGCCCAAAATCTTAACTATTCATACAAACTAATGGAATCAGAGCTAACAGCGACCGATAAGGAATTTTTTTTGTGTAAGAATGATAAACATTTCTTTATGGTGTGAATAAAGCAGTTAAGGAGAAACTATTTTCCCCTTCACAAATTACTAGAACCAAAGGTCACTCCATGAAATCGAAACTCAAAAGAAGCAAGACAGACAAAAGGATTTTTTTTTTATACAACACAGAATTCAATTTAGGAATTTGCTACCACAAGATGTGATGCTGGCTCCTGGCTTACCTGGCTTCAAAAAACAGCTGGACCAATTCATGGAAGTAATGGCTATTAGCCTTCCATGGCAGTGTGACTGCCTCTGAAGGCTATGTGCTAGGAGCCTCCTTATGCTACCAAGACAACAGACTGGGGGTCCAATCCAACAGAACACCGCTTATGTTTTTATAAGCAATTAACAATATCAAATCGGTTACACTTCTGAGCTTTCTCCCAAAACATTCCAGTGTCTCTGTCATTTCATTTCATGCAGCTTGTACCAGATAGACTGGAGATGGAAAGGAAATTTTTACTGCAGACTTAGAAGCCACCAGAAGCAGCAGCTTCTTAGACACAATTGTTATTCATTAGGAAAGTGTCTGGGAGATTTGTGTAATGTGTGCATGGAGCCAAAGAGCCATCTAGGCTAGGCAGGCAGATGAAAATTAACAGGTTCTGCATATTACTGAACTGAGACACTATTTAATGTGCACCTTTCCTTCAGTTCTAAACCTGTTTTTCCAGAATTCTCATAAATTTGAGTGAATTACTATAGCATTGTTTTGACATCCTTTGACTACAGTATTGAAACATAATACTGTACTGCTGTAACTCCCATTTCCACTAGATGGCAACAATGGTTTGCTTATATTCTAAACTCCCCATACAAAATAAATAAATACCTAAGGAAACTTCACTGGAAAAAAAAGCTAATGATGGGAAAATAATGGGTTGTTCAACGGATCATTTTTCTGTTGCTGAGATGCATTGTAATTGTTGCTACCTTTATTAGTGTTTTGCCTCCGTAGACCTCTGTTTTCAAAGGTGCAAAGAATAAAAAAGTAGCAAATTCTCAACCAGGCAAAATGTTGCTTCAGCTTTAATTAGATGTAATTGGAGATGTGGAGCTGTTGTTATTTCACATTTCTTTCTCTCGGCTCTGTTTCAAGTTTGGTTAACCCTTGTGATGTTGTATCAACCTGCTGGGCTTGATGGAGCACATTCTTTGCTGTATTAGGGAACTGAGGTAGGAACAAGTCCGGTTTGATGACTCCATGTGGTGGGAAGAATTCATAGAACTGTTTTAGGAAATATGCAGCAAGCTGAAGCTGAGAACAGGTTGAACACCTTTGAAAAGTGGATTTTAAGAAGAATCTCTGGAAGCCCTTGGAGTTGCAAAAGATAAAATCTTATCATTCCATAAAGGATGTCAAGCAAAGAAAATTGAGATATTGGGATCATACGTTTTAGGATATAACTCCTTACGAAGGACCCTGCTAGAAAAAGGGAAAGAAAAGTGGAAGGAAAGAAAAGATGAAAAGAGGCCCATGGAAATAGCAAATAGAGACAACTGGATTAAAGAATGTGCGAGGGGCAGACACAATGGAGACTCATGATTGTAAGTCTCCAGGAAGGAGAAGACGAACTGGACTACTTTGGCCATTCTGTGACACTTCTATAACTAGTTTGAATTCATTTGATTTACTTTTACTACTAATATCCTATCCTGCCTTTCTGCCCTTACCCCCCCCCAAAAAAGTAACAGTGTAAACCCCCTCCTCCCAGTATTCAACGTTTTGTAAAATATTTAATTTTATTTTAATTTTCCTATTAAACTGATACAAGACCTGGCTGAAGACAAAAATCTTAAGCCGTTTCTTAAAAGGGAAAAGAATGGGAGGTTGGACGAAATCTTGACGTGCATTTAGGAAACACTTGAAAGCCAGTGTGGTCTAATGTAGGGCTTTTCAACCAGTGGTGCGGGTATCACCTGTGGTACATTGGCACCTGGCAGGTGGTACGCGACCATCCTAGAAAAGTGGTAGCAGGGGAGGGGAATGAGCTGAACTGGTGGCAGCAACGCACAAGCCTGAGCGAGAGATGGCTGGAGCTGCAGGGCTGTCAGGACTCAGCGGAAGCGCCAGGATCAGTGCCACTTTCCAGCTGATCAGCACTTCTTCGGGGCTATCAAGGTTCAGTGGAAGCGCCAGGATCAGCGCCAGGCTCCAGCTGGAGCTTGGCGCTGATCCTGGTGCTTCTGCTGAGCCCAGAAGAAGCGCCGATCAGCTGGAATGTTGCAGCATCTCCAGGGTCT